TCTTTGCGTTCAATTTGTCAAGGTGTAATTTCAAATTGTATTTGCTTTGTCTTCATACCTGGTTCATCTGCACCCCTAAGACTTCCTTTTTCCTTTTTTTTTTTTTTTTTTTACAGAGGAATGCCACTGGCCAGCTCTGATTTATGCCCTTCTCCCCACGGGGGATTGAAGCTGCAGCCTGCTCACGCTCTGCGCCAGCCCTCCAAAAACACACACAAGGTAGCAGGGAGGCAAGAAAGTTTTGCACAGTCTTAATTGGTCTTCCCCGAGAGCCAGGGCGGAGGAGAGTGCACAGCCACGAGTGATGGAGAAGGCAAAACTATTTCCTGGGTGTCTCATTTTCATTTCGAGCAATTTGGCCTTTGACATCCTTGGATGGGAGGTGGGATGTGGCCACGAGGTGCCGAGAGCAAGGCAGGCACTTTCCCAATGTCTAAAATACCTTCTCCTGCAGGGGAGAGTGACCCAGATAAGCCAGCACACTTTGTTTTATTCTCGAGCTAGCAGCACTTGCAGGACCTAAATGTTGCTTCCTACCCCAAGCACAACTCGGGCAAGGAGCCAGCAGTTATTCTCAGTCTAATTGAGTGGTGTGTATGTGTGTGTGTGTGTGTATATATATTTAAAAAAAAAATAAAAAAATAACTCTGAATGCCAAATCAGGGATGTATTTATCAGAGATGTACTCATCTCAGAGCCCAGCTCTCCTGCCTGCCCCAGGGCCACTTTCTCTGCCCCAACCAGCGTCTTCAACCACCCATCACCTACAGCCGCACCTTGGTTAGAGCTGGGGAAACCATTGGCACCTCCATTCCCTGGACTTCCTGGAGGGACAAGATGACATTTCTACTAGAAGAACAAGCCCTGACTGCTCTTCAAGGGATGTTTCTCTTTTGGGAAGAAGCAGGAGGAGGGGCAGAGAGTGGTTCTTCATCATGGGGTTGACCCTTCCCAAGGCAAGCCTGGGGAGATCCCAGTGTGTCCCACTGACCCAGCCTGTCCTGCCTCGAGCTCAGTGCCTCTTAGACAATCTCAGTCAGATTCCCAGGAGACTTTTGGCCGGTAGAAAAATCCCATTAAGCCCCCTAATGATTAATGATTTTAATCTCTGAGCTAATTGCTCTGTTACACATTTTTCCCCCCACCCTGTTAGTCCATAGCTGCACCCGGGCATTGTAGAAGTAACAAATTTGGAAAGGGGTTCCATGCTAAATGGCTTCAATCATTGCTGCACATTTGTTTTAACAGCTTTTCATAAGCACAAAAAAACATTGGCTACCAAATACCTCAAAACTCGTGGTGGAAGCGGAGGCTATGAAAGGCCCCAGAGAAGTGATGCTGCAGCACCTGACCCTCCCGCCTCTCAGCCCACCCAGGCCCCCCACCAGCGTCCAACTCCGAGAGCCGCCTGAGTGATGACTAACGAGACTCATGCTATCACCATCTGTTGACCACTCATGGCTTCATGGCAGAAAAGTGAAATTAGATGTTTAAAACAAACCAAAAAAAAAAAGGTTGAAGACCGAGTCACAGTGAGCTGACCTAGAAATAGCAGAGCATTTGCTGGAGACCCAACAAGACAGGGCCTGGGAGGGGACCTGGTCAGTCCCAGGTGACCTGGGTTTCTCAGATGAAGCCATAGAAGAACAGCCTATTTGATATCACTGAAATTGAAATTTAAATTGAAGGCATCCTATTTTTCCCTCTTTTTTCAGAACTGGAGTATTGCAAGGTGCAGTGCATGTGTGAAGGCATACAGGAGCCTGGGAAGAAACCCTCCAGGTCCCAGAGCTTGAGAAGAAGCATCTGAGGAACAGCCTGGCAAAGCAAACCAGGCCAAAGCGCTTTTCCCCCCTGGAGCATCCCACCCTACTGTGGTGGAGCAGGTAGGAGCAGGCAATGCCCATCAGGTGAGAAACATGAGGACAAGTATGGGGAGCTGCTTCTTGAGTTGAAGCTGCCACCAGCTCCTCCAGGTAGGGACTGGACCTACTTTTCTGTCAGGCAGGTGATTAGCGCGGTGCTGTCACTCTCACCACTTCTAAGGAGAAGCAATAGAATTTATTGCCCAGAGATCTCCATCCTGGTATCACAGGGAGAGGAGGAATGTGCTCAGCACCTTGCTGGGTCTCACCTGAAGGATGGGCAGCTGAGTCCTGCCAAGGTGGACCACCCTAGACCGGGTATTTGACACCCAGAGCTGCTGTCTGGGCATCTTAGAGGTCTTGGGGCTGGCGAGGTGAGGGGAAACATCTAACCTGGTAAAAGTAACTCTTAGCAGATAAAAATGGATGAAGAAGATGACTTCATGTAAAGAAGGACATTTTTTGAGCTCCCTGTCACAGGACAGCACTGAAACATCTTGTTTAGAAGCCCTCAGAGAAGAATTAAGCACCTCTAGGTAGGATGAGTGTCTGTATGCACGGCATTGAAGTGAAAAGTGAGAGGTCATATAACTTTCCCTGGCTGGTGCATTAACCGGCCATGCCGTAAGTCAGCAAGGGCCATGCACGCTGCAACGTGGTGCATGGTGGAGGGGAGCGAGTTTTCCTCTTCCAGCATAGTATTTTCTTCATTTTTTTAGAGGGAAATGTGCCAAAACATGCATTTGCCAGCGCTCGGTGTAAAATGCCCCTCTGAGCACCAGGATTTATTTAAGTACAAACCAGGAGAGTGAACATCACTGCAGCTGGACGGGGCAGAAAGCGGTCGGAGCGATTTCAGCTGAAATCCGTCTCTCCTATAGGGTTTTCAAGGCTAACAGCTCTCCAACTGGTGTAAAGTGATGTAAATGTGCTGCCCGCAGTAAAGCAACATCAATTTGTGGCACGAATCTGGCCCGGGGATGGTATTCTGTGGCTGTATCTTGGCTTCGATGAGAGTCTAAATATCAGGAGCAAAAATAAACTGTTTGGCAAGCAAAGGGGAGGGTGTTCCATATAGTTCTGATTGGTCTGTTTTGAAATTATTTTTATTGCCCTGGGCCCACAGATATAGTCAAACAGGACAAGGGTAGCAGCAAAAGGCACCTGGTGAATATTTTCTTTATCCTGCCGTGGTCTTATTTTGCTTCCACCAGAATGCGGATGGCACGGCCGAAGTAGGACAGGCACTTCAATGTTGGTCCCTGGAGAGGTCCCAGTCCCCATCTCAGCCAGCCACAGGCTGGGAAATTGGTGTCACCCAGTGCCTTTTTTAAAAAAAAATGGGGGGGGGGGGAACCCAACAGATTTCCACGCTTGTTTTCCACTGCCCTAATTTCCCCATGCAAGAGCTCCATTTGTTTTCATTTCCAAGCTGTTGTAGCACATCAAAGGCAGTGCTTTGTACGCCCCGGCGCGTGTTGTGTTGCTCCTTTGGGCTGGCACACAGCAGGATCACAACCCTACCAGGAGTGGAGGATTTACAGTCCCTGAATCCCCACGCAGGAGAGACAGGGAGCATTTGCCCTGCAGCTTTTTGCTGGTGTTGGGTTGCCTCTACATGGAGCTGACCCCCACGCCGTGACTCTGACCCATGGCTTGTCTTTGCTAGCAAAGCATCCAAAGATCCTGACCCTGGCAGGGATCTGCGTTGGCTGAACCGGGACAGTGCAGACAGAAAATGTCCCACCTATGGAGATGCAGAAAGGCCAGGGAGATGCTGGTGACAGCATGGGGTAGCGGAGGCAGCCAAGGGAGGACTGCAGCCTCGTGGCGACACCAAAGGGATGTCACATTCCTGTTACCACAGCCGTGTCTTGCCTGGTTGCCCGGCTCAGCGAAACCTTCTCTCTTTGCAGATCTATTCCCAAGACCCCCTTTCCCCCGAAAGAAGCATTGACAATGTCTTTGCACAAAGCAAATGTGCCAGAAGCAAAGTTATGCCTTTCAGCATCCCCAACCCAGCTCGTGAGGTCTCGCTGGGAAAACTGCATTTTCTTACTTCCCTTGCCAATAAGCCCTAGCAAAACGTGATCTCCTTGGGGAAGGCTTAAGATCAATTAGGGGCTGTTGGATTTTCAATGAAAGTAGAAACCTTTGTGGAGCAGGGGTTGAGCAAGTCTTTCCTTGCCTGGTTCGGAGAGGGGCTCTCCACCCATCCCGTGGGGAGCTCCTTTGCATTTGCCTCCTTCTACTCCAGCTCCAAAATGGATGTATCCCAGTTCATCTCCTCCCGGGGCGAGCCCTAGAGTGGCTCTTGAAAATATGTATTTCTAAAGACTCTAGGTTTTTCTGTTCTCAAAATATGGATTTAGCAGTTTTCTGCTGGCATGACCAAACTACATCCAGCAGCTCAAGCTTACCAAAGGAAACTAGTTTATGCTGAAAAGGGAAAGAAATAAAATGTGCTCCCGAATTAGGTTGTCTTCTCCAGGCGTGACTGCACACCCTCAACACATGCAAGCAATGCTGCTCTGGGGGAACGAGAGCTGTGCCCTGGCCCTGGTTTGTTTTCAGACCTGTGATGTGCACTGCAGACTTTTCCCAGCTTTCTCCATGCAGGGCACCCTGAAAATCCAGCCCTGCTTGGCTGGGCATCGATGGCACTGCAGGAGCACTTGCATTCAGGGGTTATAAATGCCAGAGAGGATGTGCTTGTCTCAAAGTCCCGAGGTGCCCTGGCATTATCTCCATCTTAGGCTGATTTTTCTGTCTTAGAGGTTGTCAGGTCTTTCTATAGGTGCTTTGGGCTGTTCCACCTCCCTGGTCCCAGGTTGGGGCTAGGGCTACGATTAAGGTTAGGGTTAGGGCTAGAGCTAGGGTTACCTGTGTTGCACATTCAATGCAGCTGGACTGTTTCTGCTTGCCCCCTGGCTGCAAGTGGTGGGACACAGGCTCGGACCTGTCTCCGATACATCTCTGTGCCTTCTTCCTTGGCACGGGGGACCCCTTGCAGTCCCCCTGCCTTGCTGCCAGAAAGAATTTCGGAGGCCAGAGCATGCAAGGGTGAGGATGTCTGTTTTGGGCCGGCTGCTGCTCAGATGCACAAAGATCAGCCTAATCATGAGCCGCTCCTACCTGTGTCGCCCATCGCTGCGGTACCTGACACAAACCCACAGCAGCCTGGCAGGGAAAGCCGAGATGTGAGTCCCCCCCGCATTGCAATTGTTAGGAGAGATTAAGTGACTTGCCCAAGGTCGCACGAGAGACGTGGGCTGCCACTGCTGGAGTTTAGCATTCAGCAAATTGATACCCTTGGCATTGCACAGGCTGCTATTAAAAAGTATCAGAGAAGACAATGCGGGAAGTGCGAGCATCTTAGTGAGCCCAAACAGTTTTTAACAGAAGCGGAGCCCCTGTTTCTTTCTTGAATGAGGTTGTAGGACTGGATTTCTCACTGCTGGGTTTGTTTATAGTCGGTGGAAGTAAGAGAAGGTACGTGGCACATTTTGGGAGGTAGCATTGTCATAGAGACAATGTAATATCTCACAGACTGTAATAAATACTGCTAAATATTTAAGAGCTTATAAATATTTTAAAAGAATCCCTGAGTAGTTATTGATGGAGTTTAATCTGGTGCTTGGGAAAACTCCTTCTCTCTGTGGGTCATAAAGAGGAGATGAGGTGCTTGAGATGCAGGAAGCCGGTGATAAAGGCCATGAAAAAAGAGTCTGTATGGGGTGCAGCGATGGGAATGTGACATTAACATATATACAACGGCACTCAAAAAATCAAAAGAGCCATGGGTGCCGTGGTCCTGCTGATGCTGCTCTGTCCTCCTGGCACAGCACCTTAGAAACTGCAGTTTTGGCATGTTTTGGGCAAGTGCTGGGAGTGGAGGTATGTCGGTGACTCACCCCCGATGGCACAAGGCTGGGCTGACCAGTTTCGCCAGCTGCCACCACTTTCAGCTGGGAGCACTTCGCCCGGCGGGGCATGTCTTGCCCTCCCAGACCCCTTCTACCTAGGAAAGACTTTGGCTGTTTTCTGTGATTTCAGCAGCTTGGGTGTCAGTGGAAGCTCCTCTACAGCACTGCAGAGCCCGGCCAGAATGAACTTTAAAAGCTACTGAGAGATGAGCATGGATGCTACAACTCCCCATGTCCAACAAATCACCCACAGTGTTATAAGTAACGTCTGTCCTGGCTCTGCCCCAGGTCAGATCCTTCCCGCTGCCACTCTGCCTGCACCCCTGTGCTCCCCGAGCCCCGCCAACGCTGTGTGGAGCAAAGCCAGGGCTGAATCAAGCCCTCCCTGTCTGTCACATCCTCCTGGAGTCCCATTACCCACCTCTCGCTCCATCGATCGCTCCAGCTAATTGCGCATTCAGATTTCAGCCCGGAGATGAAATGGAAACACGAGGTAGCCTTGCAGAGGCCTTGAATTCTTACTCATGTTGCAGACAGCAGAGGCAAAGCCTCTCTTGAGCTCCTGACGAGCTTTTGCTAGATAGGGGCGGGGTGAAATTTTGCTTCTGGTCATTTGCAGATATATTCTCATTTAAGCAAAAGGGGAAAGGGTGAGCTGTCATTCTGCTCACGCATTTCTCCCAGCTCCATCCCAGGCAGCGATGCTGTCATTAAACTGCTCTGCAGTTCAGTCATCTCAACAAAATAAGAAAAAGTGATTCTTGAAATTCTGGATATTAAAACAACACACCGTAAACAAAAGCCTCAGATCCTGCCTCTTCCTCCCTCTTTACTTACAAAACTCCATGCCTTTATCTCAAAAACCTATTTATGTGATGCAGCAGACCTCAGTGCTGCTCCTCTAGAAGGGCTGCATTGAATAATCAAAGAGCAGCCTGCTGGGATTTTTAATTGCTCAAATTTTCTTAAGAAGCCATGCAACAGGGAGTTTTACTTCTGATGGCAGAGTCCTCTTTCATTGTTTTTCATCAGAGACATTTTTTACTCAGCTGTTGGTTGGCATATAAACTCTCTTCAATAACAGATGCACGTAGGATATAGGAACAATTTAATTCTAATCAGACAAAAAGGGTGGGGAAGGGAAAAATAGTGGAGATTTGCTGTATTTCAAGATTCACCCTATCTATGAGCTATGTTTTTCTGCACAAGTCCAGGTCCTGGCACTGTTTGAAATGAAGTGGGTGGGAAACTTGATGGCCAAACACGTTTAAACCATCTAAAGTACTGAGACTCCCTATGAGAAGGCCACATCTGAGACACTACAGCCTATTTGCTATCAATCAAACACTTGATAGTGCCAAAAAAATAGTTGTAAAAAAAGCCAGGTGCCTCTTATGGAATGAAATAACAACATCCCAAACCTTTCCTTGGGAGTCACCCAAACTGTTGCCTCTGAGCCCAGTTCTGAGCATCCCCACTGCCCCCAGTCTCCACATCGCTGGACCTCATGGGCACCATGCGGCCAGGAGAGGGGAAGGATGGCTTGAAACCTTCCTCTGCAAGGGCAGGGAGATCCCCAGTAAAGCTCTGCTAATCAAAGGCTGATGAGCAGAGGTGGAAAGGGGGACGGAGACATGTCAGAAAGGGTTGGGTTTGATAGGTGACCCAAGCCCTGGAGATGAAGCAGTGTCAGGCTGCTCTTAGAGCTGGGCAGAAATAAAACTGCGTTTGATGAGCAAGGCTATTTCCTTGAAGAAAGAAGTTTGCATGTGAAAGGATGGGTTGTGAGGAATTTCAGAACTTTAAAAAGGCAAGAAAAAATGTCTAACGTGACAAAATGGGGAACATGGGCATTTACAGAGGCCTTTTCTTCTACAATTTAAGAAAAATGAATTAAAACAAAATAGAAAAAAAAATCAATATCAAAGCACTGCATCTTGATCGACCTGATACCATCTCTCCCCACCAAACCCCTCATGTTTCAGTCTGCAGAAATCATCAGAACAACCCTCCGATTCTCATATATATCCACGGGACAGGACAAGCCCTTTCCCCTGCAGAGCTACGAAGAAACTCACTCAACATCTTCCCTTCAACTCCGGCAGTTTGTTGGCTGCCTCTCCAACCCTGAAACCGTGCAAACCCTGGAGCCCCTGACCTTGCACGGTGACGCTTTTAATCCCAGTATTTTACCTAACACTGCCTTCAAAGTGAACTAGTTTTTTGATTGAAAAAATAGGCTTTCTACCTTGCTCTGCAGGCCTGCCCTTTGGTTTTCATGTTCTGAACCCCAGGCAGGAGGAGGACACAGTTGTGTTGGGGTTCCCTGAGCTGGGACAAGGTGGGGAAATGATTTAATTGTCAAAGCAAGCACAAGCTTGTCAGCTGGAAGAGCGCCAGCATGGGCTTCGGTGCTTTAGCAGGGCTGTGTGGATTAGATTTTGCTTTTGACATTGGTTCGTTGGCTTTCATCCTTTGGGTGGCATCGCTTCCACGGGAATGAAGGTATAGGTGAACTGCAGCGAGGCCAAGATGGAAGGAGATGTCCTTTAGGCAGCAAATCCCATGGCCAGCCGTTCGGCACTGAGATGCTGAAGCCAGTGCGGGGACATCTCGGAGGTTCCCATTCTGAGCTGGCTACAGGGGAGGAGGGTTGAGCATCTACCCCATGCTCAGTGTCTCTCCAAGTGTCAGTGGGAAATTAAAGTGAGTTGGTTTGAGTTTGGATGTCTGTCGGCCATGCTGGCTGAGGTAAGCAGCTGGGCTCCCTGGCACCGAACAGTGGTGGGGTTTTCATGTGGCTTTAACGCAGGACTTTGTTCTGAATCTTATTTTTCTCCAATTATTAAGACTTTTTGCATGGGACCTGCTTTTTCTTCTCCCTGCCTCTTCAGGATATAAATGGATTTTCATTTCAGGCTAAAGGCCACCAATGTTCATGTCAAGTTTTAGAAACAACCTCTGCCCTCTTCTCTCCTCCTGCCTTTCTTCCCCCTGACATTAGCATCCTAAACTGTTTCTCATAGCTACATAAAGCTAGAAAATACAACTCAAATTTGTGACTCAGAATATACGTATATCTCAAAGCATATCTGATACCACAAATAACTCAGAGTGTTTTCAGGGCTATGTGGGTGTTTGTCTCAACCCCTTGGTATGGATGGTTGTACAGCACCATATCTCACCTACTTTTTTTATTGTATGTTATATATCTTATGTTAATTATTAATTTATATGTATGGTATTCATTTTATATACACAGACATGAATCAACCTCATTTGGTGAGCCCTAGTGACCTGGTCTTGTAACTGGCAGAGGACGGAGGGAGCCCTGTTGCAGCAAGTTGAGCTCTGCACAGACATGAAGGTCAGTGGAGAGTTGCAGTTGCAGGTCTGGCATTGCAACAAGAACCCCAGCTTTCTGGAAACCCAAGGATAATGATGATACTGAGTCTTAAATTCACATGACCGGTGGAAAAAATAACCTACTGGGAACCTTTTCCCCACTAGAAGAGACTTCCAAATAATTAACCCATCTCCTGTTCAGGCAAAAATCCTACAGGAAAAGGTTGGGTTTTGGCCTGAATAAAACATGAGACTGAGAAAAATTATGGTTGGCATACAATGGTATGTCTACAGTGGCATACCAGTGCAAATCTTATACTTCTTTTTGGCTTAATTAGTGCCATGTGTTAAATAGATAAATTGTATATCTCTATGTTAAGCAAAAAATCCTCCTATCAATTAGGCTCACAAAGCCCAAATATTTGTCTGAAAGATAAAAACAATATTTTTGCACAAATTCAGTTGTTTCAAATGCAACATTTACAGGATGGAGTATTGTTTTGGTTGGACTTGTATAGCACAGAGCTAAACGAGTAACACAGATTTTGGTTGAGATTCCCATGGCTTCACATGATTATTCTTTTAGACTTGGGGGGGAAGCGTTCCTCAAACAAAAATCAATAGGGATTTAGAAACTAAATTCTGTGTCCTTTCCTCGTGGAAGACTCATTTGTTCCTATCAGGTATCTCAAGACTTATATTCCAGGATCTCTTCAGGACATATGCTTAGAAAATTTCCACATCAAGACATCCTCTTTGAGCTAAAATATTTCTTCCTGAAAGACATCTACGTCTTGATTTACAGCCTTCAGGTGATGTAGAATCCATCAGGTACCCAAGTACTTTTTCCTACTACTTGATTAGCTTCACTCAAAAC